TGGGAACAATTCTTGCCTTTGCCACAGGTGCCAATACCGTTCCACCAATTGGATTCTCTCCTCAACCTTCAGTTGAGTTTCTTCACCCAGAGCAAAATGCAGGAACCACCTCTAAACTTCCCATTGCAAACACCTGTATCAACTGTTTGAAGTTACCGCTGCACACCTCTTACAGTGACTTCAAGAAAAGCATGGACTTTGCATTGGGCAATACACATGGTTTTGGTATTGCTTAATTTGGGGACATGCCTCCATCTCTATATTCTGTTCAAAATACACTTTGCATTGAAATACTTAGAAAAAAAATGTTCATCACGCACTTTGATTGTTGTATGAAGGCACTAGTGTAAACTTTAAATGGTTTGAAAATTTTATGTGTTAGTTTCCGTACTGATCGACAAATGTTATTGTGTTTTTATTTTAATGGCTTTATCATTTCTTGTGGTGTTCAACACTGTGTTTAACTGGCATATTTTGTAGCTTGGAACTTTTATTCATGCTTTATATACATGGTAATGACATAATGAAAGATGCATTGGGTTAAGCAACTTGTTTTGATGTTTTAGTCATTGAAAAAAGGACATGTTTAAATACATCAATGTTCAATTTATTGAATTGTAAAAAAAAGAAATCTGCCATTAAATGTAGTTTCACATGTTTGACTATGCTTTCTTAACACCGTAACACTACAACAGTCAGTGCTATGAAAGAAAACATAAAACATGAACTGTTGTCCCAAGTTGAAATGCTATGCTGTTCTAAAGAAAGTAGTAATGCTATTTTGCTTGTGTTACACAACTATAATAGTCAATTTTTCAAATCCTGAGTACTCTAAGAATACCTCTCTGCAAGAAAATGCACAAGGGTTCAAAATAAATGTATCCCATGGTTTCCATCATCCTCAAAGGGATCAAAGGTCTGCTGAAGTGTACCCATTGTTGTGTCATTTATGGTATAATTATTTGATGGGACAACAACATTATTGTTTGTCTGTAACTCTGAGTGTAGCCTGTTGTCATCAATAGCAAAGCCACTGTCCATGTCACAAATACCATTCATACTTGGGTTATGCACTCCTGCATTATTAATTATTCCCCTTTGCCATAGCTGTAGTGGAGTTTGGCCACCTTGTGTGGAAAGGCCATGGTTATTCCACTGGTTCTGAAATTCAGAGGCAGCCCTTTGAATCCGTGGTAAATAAATATAATGGAGACAAAACAAATGAAGCTCATTAAGGGAATCTAGCACACCCTGGTTCTCCATAAAGTTGAAAAGCTCTATGAAATGAAATGAGACTACTCTGTTTAACTCTGCCCATAACCTCTCAATTCTTTGATTATGGACTGACCTCCCAGTAATAACACTGCGTCTATTCAAGCCTCTCCTGAAAAGCATGAAGCGGGCAACCCCAGTGTTTTCCAGTCCATGATCACATCTGACCCTTGCAGGTGTTCCAAAGTTCTGAACACCTGCAAGGAAGAGTGATAAGACACTACAGGCTCTGTTGTTGTCCAGACAAGCAAGGTAAATAATGGTTCGACTGAAACCATCAACGCAGCCATGGAACACCATTCTCCATTTCACAAGTTTGTGGTTTCCATCAATGTGCCTATGAAAAACACACCCAAGGTTATGCATCAACAATTTAACAGTTAAAAAGCACTTACTCATCTACATCCATGAAGTTGTTTACCATAATTGATTGGGACTTGAAACACTGTAAATTCATCAACGAATTGCACGGCGTCTTCTGAAGGACCGTCCAATAGGGTCAGTTTCATGCAAACTCTGTCGAACCCGCCACCTTTGAATGCGTAACCCACGCGATCTCAAGCTCCCATGCACATAGCGTTCACCTGCATTTGTGGTAGACTGAAGAATTTCACCAACAATTCTGTTTAGGTTGTCATTTGACAGTGCTGCATATGTCATCGATTCAATGCCAAGCCGCTGTCTGTGCCTATAAAGAGTCTGACTGTTTACTCCTAAGCATAGTGCAATGCTTTGCCAGTTCATTCCAAGGGATACTAAATGAGAGATTTTTTTCCCTTGAAATGTTGTACTGAGGTCTGCCTTGAAGTCCGGTCCTGACAGGTGGTGGCAACAGAACATAACTGTTTTCAGATAGGATTCTTCGTCTGGTTTCATGAGCAGTGAATAAAAACTGAAGACATCTATGCAAGGACTGTAAAGTATGGACTGCTTCTCTATTTCTCGGATCTTCAACAAATCTTGAGATTGACAGAAATCCAGATAAAGTCTGAATGTGGTCAGAAAGCTCAGCATACAGCCTCTCCTGAACAAAAGAATCTGTACTTTCAGTTTGTATTCGCTGAATACATTCTAAGGTATTGCTAAAAAACTGTAAAATGTCATTTTCATTGCTACTTACTGCAAAAATGAAAAACTGCACTTGAAAACAAAGCAAGAAGCTTTTCCATACCATCATGGTGTAGTTCTGATATAGCAAGCCAAGAAAGAAGCACAGATAGTCTTGCCCATGTATTTCCTAGTTTGATCTTCCTGTGTAACAGCATACCTTGTGTTAAATATATGTGTATTTCTGAGTGAAAATATAAGTATGTGAGAGTGAAAATACATGTATGTAAAAGAAGAATATGTGTGTGTATGTGCAAGTAGAATATATGTATGTGTGAAAGGAGAATATATGTATGTGAGAATGAAAATACATGTATGTAAAAGAAGAATATGTGTGTGTATGTGCAAGTAGAATATATGTATGTGCGAGTAGAATATATGCATGTGAGAGTGAAAATGTATGCGTGTGAGACGTTGAGAATACATAATGTCTTATACGGCCCCTCATAGACCAGGATGAGTTCAACACCATTGAAGCTGTCACCACATTTTGATTTTCAGCTAAACTCCAAATATTGTTTCAGAAAATCACAAAGGTGTTTACTGACATGTTGGGTTGATAATTACAAGGAGATTTTAGCTTCATAAATGTGGTCACAGTAAGCATGACACCAATCACTGAAGAAAGTCAAGAATAAGGCAAGAGAAAGTCGCTATTAATGAAAACACGCTTTGTTGTACTCGGACTTTACGTTAGAGTCAGTCCTGTAGTTGCCTGGCGCAGGAATGTGTCTGTTTCAACACAGACAGGAATTTCACTGTTTCATCAGTTCATTCAAAACAATGCCTGTCGGTTTATTTGCTGTAGCCCTGCATGTCTGTAGTGCTGTATTATAGTCATTTGGGACATACCTCGAATTTATTTAAATGTTCACTTCACCCAAATTACAGATGAAAAGCTTCCCACTGGTGGTATCTGGTGACGTATGAGGCTCCCCCTCATAACAAAGCTCATTTTGGCCCCTGGTTATGACATGTTGTTTTTTATCTGAAATCTGAGGTCTCCAACATTTACAGTGCGACAATCTGACACACCCTGAACATTTATCTTCTGTAAATTTGCACGTTGTAAAGACTAAAGCATGCCTGTAACCCTGCCATTTTTATGAACAAATCCTTTTATATTGTAGTGGTCAAAACAGACAAGGTACCAGTCCAGAGGTGATATGTAATAGTATAATGTGTATAATGCAGTAGGTTTGTAAGGATGAGTAAGTGTTTATATAATCCTGTAACATCTGTTTCTCTTCTCTGAACTGTTTGGAGATGTTTGTGCATGGAGACCATGGGAACTGATAGTTTGCTCAAGCAAGAATATCTTTGCTTGTGTCCTCCTTGTTTAATTTATGGGTAAACATCCAGAGAGAAACCTTCCTTAAATGGGAAATGGACATAACTTCAGCCTTATGTGAACTGTTCGTGTGCTGTGTTCATGTTCAGAAAAGGAAATGGGCACTAGGTCAATGCAACCTAGAAGTTCATAAACTGGACATCTCAGACAATTCCTGGAAGAAGGGGTGTAGAGCTGGCGTAAAAGTGACTGCCTTAAGCAATAGGAGGGGAGTGTACAGGAGGTTTAACCAGGAGAAGATAAAAGTTAGGACAGCTGTGGGTTAGCGGTAGGAAGGATAGTGCTGCAGTCATGAGTGTGCGTTTGGACCCGGCCAGGTGGAGAGGGGATTGCCTCTGACTGACTGCACCTTGTGGCCAACAATGACTGACTCGTTGACAATTCTCTTATCTAATACTTTTGATTATTTCCAGGCAGAGACAATGATTCTGTTCCGCTCATTGAACTGTTCAGTATTATTGTAATATTAAATGATTATTTGAGTTGGGATGATTTGCCTGAATTGATTTAGTTCATATCAGGCCCTAACTACTGCAATATTTAGCTGACAAATTTTGCTGCTTAAGAGTTTTAGATGCTCCACATTAACTGAGGTGGAGGGGTCTGTCTGTGCAGTGGTGCTTGCTATCAGATGACATAAGAAAAATGGATCATCTTAAGATCGGTCTACAACAGAAACAGTCTCTTACTTTGTGTTTGAGGGTCCGGGCCCCGTCCTGAAGTTCAGAGGATGATCTTTGAACTCGTCACTTCTCACAGACTGACAGCTGGGTACTGGTACTGCTCTGTCCTCCTCTTCCTCCACACAAACACTCATCTTCTGGACTGGAGTCAGTCTGAGAGATAAACCAGTGTCACAGACTGGGCGCTCTGAACCATGGCAAGCAAGTCATCTCAAGTCAGTCAAACAACACTAGTGATGGGCAAATGATACCGAAGCTTTGGAGCTTGTGTCACTCGTCCTGAAGCGGAGTGATTCGAAACGCTGTGTCGGAGCTTGTATCAAAACACCAGTGTCACGTGACCGATGACGTTCGAACGTCATCGCTGTTTCGCTTCACGCGTCATTCCTTCAAAATGTTTTGAAGCTTTTCATTGGCTCATAGTCTTTCAGTGTGTGTCAACGCTCATAGCGTTTCAATGCATTCTGAGCCAATGACAGCTTGACAGGTTTTACAGATTTGTGTGGTTTGGTGCCATACCAGCTATATAAGATGCATCATTATGCATCAAAATGGGGTTGTGAGGAGATAGAGATTTGGAGAGTGAGAGTGAGAGTATTTTGGCAAGGTTCATGGCGAGTACCACCAATAAGCGACGTTCTAAAGTTTGGGATCATTTTGATGCCTGTCCTACACTGAGACAGCTAACTAGCCAGCTATGCGCTAGCACCTACGCTGACAGTGAGGAGAACACCTTCGTTGTCTTTTTGGATTTTATTAGAACAGAGAATGCAACATAACTGATTTACCTGGCACCGTGTGCTCACAGGAGAAGATGAAATAACGAACTCAAAACGGTGACAACATTCCCTCTGGGCATCCCGTGTCCCGCGCCAACAGAATCTAAAAAAAACGCCCACAGAAATGGGGTTGTGAGGAGATAGAGATTTGGAGAGTGAGAGTGAGAGTATTTTGGCAAGGTTCATGGTGAGTACCACCAATAAGCGACGTTCTAAAGTTTGGGATCATTTTGATCTCATACCACCCAATAAGGTATAATGCAGTTTATGGCATACATTTTATGTTTCCATAATTGAATTGTATTTTTAATTTTTAAATGGGTCTCGAAATTACAATTGCTTGTAGGTGCGGTGTTTGCTCTGCACACAGGAGTTGTCTTACAGCAACAACACATCATCTATGCTGTGACACTTGCGTGCCAGGCATGATGATGACAAAACCCAGCAAACCAGTGACCCTGTCAACACTGGAAATCCTGACAGTAAGCTAAATATAAACGTATATATACTGTAAATATGTATGTATGTGTGTCTATTTATTGTAGATGTTGTGTATCATATTCATATAGCAACCTGTCTTCCACACAGTGTCCAGAAAACAGAAGCTGGATGAGGCCTTGGTGGACATGATAGTTAAAGATGGTCAGCCTTTTTCTATCGTTGAGGATGAAGGGTTCCATAATTTCATCAAAATCCTGGACCCATCATACTCCATTCCAAGCTGCAAAACTGTAAAGGCAATGGTGGCAGCAAGGTACACTGTAACCAAAGAGAAGGCCTTGGCAGAAATTAAGCAGACTTTAGCTGTTAGTTTGACTGCTGACATGTGGACATCAGTCAACATGGATGCGTACCTTGGTGTCACTTGCCATTATGTGTCAGACAGCCTAGATCTGGCTACTGTGCTTTTAGGTGTGCAGTATTTTCCTTTGACCCACACAGCAGCTAATATTTCAGATGCAATTGCAAATTTGATGACAGAGTGGGGAATCACTGAAAAGGTCTGTGGGATGGTTACTGATGGAGCTCACAATATTGTGGCAAGTGTTACTCAGTTAAATGTTAGACATATTTATTGCTTTGCCCACATTCTGAATCTCATTGTCAAAAAAACACCCTGTCAGACTTCTGAACTGGAAAACATGCGCAGTAGGGCCCGCGAAATAGTGGCAAAATAGTGGCACACTTCAAGTCCAGTTCAAAAGCAAAGGAAAAGTTGTGCTCTATTCAAGCTAATATGGGTATGCCCCCAAAAAAGCTTGTTCAAGAGGTCGAAACCAGATGGAACAGCACCTATGCCATGCTCCATAGGCTTTATGAGCAGAGAGAACCTTTAGGGGCAGCCCTGGCATCACTTAGTACTGACATTGTGCCTTTCATTGCTGATGACTATGCAGCAATCAACCAGTGCCTGACAGTTTTAAGGCCATTCTATCAGGCAACTCTTGAGCTTTCTCAGGAAAGGAGAGTGTCAGGGTCAAAGGCAATTCCTATAGCCAAAATGCTGAGACATGTAATTTCTGCCGAATGTGCCCAAATGGCTCCTTGTATTGGTGCCACGCTTGCCAACCATTTGAAAAATAATTTGAATGAAAAATTCAGTGGCGTGGAAAAGGTGAACTGCTTTCTTCATCTTTCCTCCTGTTTCATTCTCACATCATCAATCCATAGGAACCTCTTAGTCAAAGGTTTCTGTGATCCCATATTAAGGCCACAAACGTCCTCAGACCCCAACATTTAGAAGTCATTAAGTCTGTGTTCACATACTTCTCTAGATTCCAAGATTTTATCACTTAGAAAGGTCTAAGGTTTCCTGGAGGTCAGTAGCAACTGGGACTGGGTAATATGGTTGAAATTACCTTATTACAGATGTATCAGTGTCAGCAGATTGGGAGAAATTACAGTGCTGAAATGCACTACTGCCTACTAGCTGCAACTATTGTACATCTCAAATGCCTTGTCAGGAGGCATCACACGTTGTCACCTGCTGTAAAATATCACTTAGTTTGGTTGTGTTGCGTTTTCAGTAACTTAACAGATCCTTTAATGCTGTGACCAAGTGTAAGTGGCTGGTAAGCGTGTATTTGCTGGGTCCACATGTAATCCATACCTTAATGTAATGTTGATTGTGTAACCATATATTGTACATGTGTGCGCACAGTTCACTTTGTGCCAGTCAAGTTTTGCCAAGGCCAGCAGATGACCCTGATCTGAGAATGACCTTTTAATTTTTAACATTTTCTTCATGTGAGCATATTTGTTCCAGTAATGAGTTGGTATACAAAGTGTCACATAAATCTGTTTTTAAAAGGCAATGATTATAAAGTCTCTCAGTCGGTCAAAATGTAGTTGCATTCTTAAGGTTTAATGATTTGCTGCTAGACATACAGTACGTATGCCTCCCCATTTTTTCTTGAATCAGGTGTTTAGTCTGTCCTCTAAGTATGTGCAGTAAATTTCATTAGCAAAGAACTTTTGGCAATATAGAACATTTTACAGAATTGTACTGTATGTGAAAAGGTCTGTGGGATGGTTACTGATTT